TTCTACTGAATTGATTTTTCTAGCTAGTAAACGCGTTTCATTATGTCATTTGACAATTATTTATGTATATAATACAATGTAATTCAAGGGAGTAGTTGTGCAGTAATTGGACTTATCATCTTTATTCAGATATACCTTGTCGTTAGTCTAAATTTTCATTAGTTACTGCATTAAGAATTAGAATAGTAGCAAAGATGGACCATATATATCCAAGTTATAACCACCATCACTTCCTTATTTGGTATTTACAAAAAAAATAAAAATAAATAAATATTATACTGACTTTCCTGAGAATTAACTTTTCGTCCTAGTTAATTCTATAATGATACTGCACTTTAAAACTTGTTTATCTGTAAATCTTCTAAATAATCACTCCAAAGTTTTTAACTGTTTCCAGTTCATTCACCTTCTTCTTTGTAGTGTTTGTCTGGCTTCTGAATTCAACGACTTGCTCTATTTCTTGTTACTCTGATAATTATTTACCTTACCTATCAATATGTAGGAATGGACTCTCAACCCAGACGAATCAAATATCGTTTCTTGAAACTTTGCCAGATGACACCCAAATCTCCAGAGAAGAGAGATCTTTTCGCTTTTGGATAAATAGTCATGGAAACTCTACATACATCAACAATATTTTTGAAGATGTCAGAAATGGGTAATTCTGCTAGCTAATTATGCTCTATGACAAAAAAAATAAGATAAAAGAGAGATAGATCTTCATTCTGCTGTGGAAAACTTGTATTTTGTTTCCAGTACCTGATAGTTTCAAATGTCTAAAATCGAATATAAAGGTATTTTAAGTTTTTGTCATTTTAAATGACCTTTTTGGTTCTTTGCAGATGGGTTCTCCTAGAGACTCTTGATAAAGTGTCCCCAGGGATTGTCAATTGGAAAATCACTACTAAACCACCAATTAAAATGCCATTCAGAAAAGTAGAAAATTGCAACCAAGTTGTCAAGATTGGGAGACAGCTGAAGTTTTCCCTAGTCAATATTGCTGGAAATGACATCGTTCAAGGAAATAAGAAACTAATACTTGGTATGTTCTTTACTACATTTCTTAAACACTGCTACTATGATGACGTACATAGAATCTAAATCATGCTTGTTTTAACTTTTTTGGTTAAGCATCGTATGATTAAGTACTAAAGGGACTTGATTTACTTTCAGCATATCTGTGGCAGCTGATGCGATTCAACATACTTCAGCTTTTGAAGAACTTAAGATTTCATTCCCATGGGAAGGAAATTTTTGATGCTGACATTTTAGAGTGGGCAAACTCCAAAGTAAGAAATTCAGGGGGCCAGACCCGCATGGCCAGTTTTAAGGTATTAATTTCTGAAGCATTTTCCTATCACAAATGTTGAGTGCAAAGTGCAGCAGGACTATGTAACTTAAATTATATTATGAAATTCATCAAATATTTTCATTTGCAGGATAAGAGTTTGTCAGATGGAAAATATTTCCTTGAGCTCCTCAGTGCCGTACTCCCTCGATCTGTTGACTGGAGTCTTGTTACGAAAGGAGAGAGTGGTATGTTTCCTTTTGGCAGTAAAAAATGTTGTCTAATTAAACAAGAAGCCTGGAAAAATTGAAGTTTTTTTTTTTACTTTTCTGTTTTCCCAACATTCATGTTGAATACTGTATTAGTTTGTGTGCAACAGAAAGGTCTCATTTATTTCCTGAAATTTGTGTAATGTAGACGAGGAGAAAAAAATGAATGCAACCTACATCATCAGTATAGCAAGGAAGCTTGGATGTTCGATATTTTTGCTTCC